TTTTTTCCCACCCATGAGATAAATATCCAGGTTAGGTTCTCAAGCACATGCTCCACTGCAAACCGCAGAACTTACCGGCACTCACTGCTTATCGATTTTGAGGTTTTTGTCTTGTTCCAACATTGTCTGTACACTAGGAATCAAAGTAAATCTAATGTTGTTTCTTAGTGAACACAGTTCCGAATAAACAAACCTCAGAGCTTCCCATGTTTTTTTTTCACTTCAGACTGGCGCTGTTGAACAAATTGCAGGAGTAGGAACTCCAGATTTAAACTTTCAAAAGTCAGTGTTCAACTATCGAGACTGTAAACTCTTGGTGTCGGTTATTCAACCGTATGACTTTGGGGTTCTGGTCACGTGAATACCTGCTAACGGGTCACAAGTTCCAACCAAGCGCCAGTGGGGTTCACGAACTAAAATCGAGCGTATATTTCAGCGGAAATTTAAGATTTCCATTTAACTGACAGTTCCGCACATCCATTTAACGCTTGCCTATTCTAATGTTATGATGACTATTGGGGATAAAGTTTACTGCTCACCATGGTTGAAAGGTTGCACTTCATTTGCTTGCCTCATCATCATCATCATCATCAGCGACAGCATGACATCGATGTTAAAACTGATGCATAGGTGCCGCACTGAAAACGTCCCAGATGGTGGCATCACTCAACGGTCATTGGTGGCATGACATTGTTCATGAGTGTCCGTGGGATGGAATAGTGCCAGGGCATCCAGGCATCCTCAACCAAAGTCTTTGGCTCAAAAGCCTGACCGCAAAGCCAAAAATGTTCCAAAGTTGATCACGGAGGACCAGGACAGTACGTTCGTCAGATCTCCAACTTGGTGGGAGAGACTCTGTGAGTGTTAAACGGGCACCCCCCAATATGGATCAATAGCTGGCGGTGGCACACAAACCGTCACACCAGAGCAAGACCTAGTCCCTTCTTTACGGTTGGCTCAACAGGTAAACTGGAGCGAGTGCAGCATCTGTAAAAGCAATCCCGTTATCTCAGCTAAATTAGGCTTGTCCACTGCGTCTAGGTTACCTTCGATTGTTTACTGTATCTCCGATTGGTGAAATTGAAGTCGTTTTCTCCTGAGCGTCGTTATCGACAATCCCACATGGGCGTGGGGCTCTGGGTTATACCCTTCTTATCCGCATTGGGATTACTTTCGCTTTCAAGTAGATTCTATTTGATAAAACGCGAAAACCCATTGTTCTGCAAGCATGAGGAATGTGGGTTTCAGGTTTGTTTTCGCATTTTCTACCGCAAGCTCTACCGAGAAGCATTTCTCGAACCCATTTCGATCCCGTTCACGTAAACAATATGGTTCGTTTGATTCAAATCCAGCTCTGATGCATACCAGCTATCAGAATGAACTTGCAATTCTTGCACCACCATGTCTGGGAAAAATTTCCCCACCCCACTAACAACATTTTGTTCGTTTGTTCGGAAAAAGTCGCAGAAGAGCCCCCTAGTGAGATGAATGTTTTGTCTTGGATACGTGCGAGCTACAACACAATGTGTGCTGCCCCCCTCGGCCTGAAACAACCATTTCCGATTGATGCTATCAGCCGTTGGTGTCCACGATTTGGTTTCAGAGTGTTTTGGCTTGTGCCTTTTGGTGCATGAAAGACTGTCCTTGTGTGCTTCCACTTAAGAGCCGATCTGAAAGTCGGTAAACCTTATCGGAATCCTTCTTGTATGTGCGCGCTACAGCCGCGAATTCGGATGTACGCGCATACACCCTAGTGCAAGTGAAGGTTCAAATTTCTTGTTTAGTTCACACCAGTTACAACAGGAAGATCCCACAAATAACGGACATAGATGCTACCGAGCACATTGACTCGAGAGTAAATTCGTTTTGAGTGGTGCCACATTTAAAGGTGTTGACTAGACTAATGGCCCGAGAATAGTCGATCTCAATATAGGTAAAAAGCAATTATCTTTCTTCCTGTACGTTATTGTAAGAGTATGGGAAAAGACGCGACTGGTCTGCGGAAGCTACCGCGTGGCGCCGATCCTGCACCCGAAGAACGCCAATTACCTCTTTACCGGCAACCTATTCAAACGGTTACTATTTCATGAGAGGACGCTTCATTTTATATCCTACTTTGTTACACGAGATGGCCCGAATAGTTAGAGCGTGGATTTACTGACCGGAAGGTTTGTGGTTCGAAACCGACTTCTGTCTCTCGACTTCCCCTGTCTAGGCTCGGGCAACCTGGCAGTATTCCAGCCCTCATGCAACCTTCGGGGGTGTGGCAGCTAGGCACTGAAAGGGCGCTACAGCTGGAAGCTCTTTCTACTCACCAGAGGAGTATTTTCTATCGAACCTAGTCAACGAGGTCACTGTGTTCCACATTGCCTTCAGTTAATAAGTTGAGCTTTGCTTTTAAGCTTGAAATCGTCCTTCAGTTCTCGAAACGCACTTTTTCAATTGCCATAGGATTTTGAGGCCGCTTGTGGCGCATTCTAAGAGCGTCCCAACAACCAACGGTGTCCCCCAGGGTTGTCACACTCCCTCGGCTTTGTTTCATTTCGCCATTATTGTATTGATGAGGTGAATACTGGAAGGTAGACCAAATCCCGGTTTTTAGATCTCTCCTATCAAGAAACCGGTCAACCGGGAATACGTAATCAACGTTGTCATTATTTTTGAAGAGCAACAAACGCAGTATCTGATCTTTCGACATGTGCCTCGCACTCACGAAATGCAGTTACTTCTGGGGGGCACGATATCTTCATACATGCCTTTGAGAATTCAAAGAGTGACACTAGAAGGTGTGAAAAACTATCATCAGCTGTAAGAACCGTGTACTTGTCGTACACGAGTTGTGGAACGCTATATCTGTCTCGGTAGCCCTCGCGAGAGTGTGATATTTTCAGGTCTTTGACTACTGATTTATCAGAAGTATAGGCAGAATCGAGTGGAATCAACGAATTCGGATTGAGGTGTCCAGGAGACGGATAATGGTTGAAGCAGGCGATACTTCACTCGAACAATGCATTTAGCACTGCCAGTTAGGGTGACTGGGCAATGTGCTACTCATACCGAGTTATCACTGTTTTCAGCGCCGTCGAATTCGGATTAGCGGAAAGGCGGGTGGGACTGAAGTGATGTTACGAAAAGTACGGGCACCGTTTGTGTTTTTCACCACCATGTGCTTGGTCAGAACAACCCTGTACGACGTGGATGCTAATCGATCTGAGTGGTGATTATACTGGCGGGTATCTATGACTGAGTGTTGTAGGTGCAGCCTGGTTCTGGGTCACCCTCCTTGTTCCATTTTCCTATTTCTTTCTATTACAAGGCTTTATTCAGATTAAATAACAAGGTTTTATGGCAGTGCAACACCAGCGTGCTGTCATCGCTGATGATGATAAATGCTACACTGTGGCTTCCATTCAGTTGTTTGTCGAGCGCCATCTAGAATGAAACGGCCAAATATGCATCTCAGTCCACTTAACCCAGAGACAAACACGGAATCACAGTTGAAAAAAAGATGTATTTCACTACAAGTCCATCGTATAGTTTTTTGGCTCTCTCTCTTGAGAATATCGATCGGGCTTAGTGAATCACACAATTGGTGTCGCAGCCACACCAGTGGGGGTGAGAGGAGGGCAAAAGAGTAGAGCAAGCTAGCAGTACTGCGCATTCGGAGATACCGGCAAACAAACGCCAAGTCACAATGACAGAAGAGGATTTTGTCGTGCCCACAGCGGCAAGCTGCTCCGTACAATTTGTGCAGACAAGAGGGCACGAACAGAGTGAGAATAGACGATAAAGTTAACAATACTATGCTCGTTATCTTGGTCCGTGGTTGCTAACGTGCCGATAGTGGTTCTGCTTAGGTTGTACACCTTTACGTTGTTGAATCACTAGCGATTGGAAACGGGTGGCGGGTGGACGAATAGGAGGGTATTGGACATGCTAATTTGATCACGTGTGATTGCTGTTGGTCCAGCCAACATATGATCTGGGTACCTAAGATGTTCATGATGCACCCAAGAAGTGATAGTTTCGTAGTACTCAGATTAGGGAATCTATTGATTTTTTCAAATAGTATTCTGCATTATCGTTACTACGACGTTAGCCCTAGATGAAAGGGGAAGCAAAGCGGAAAGTGTGTGTGGGTGGATAGGTCTGAGTGTGTGCATTGTGGGACGGGACGTTAATGAATACAACTACGTCCGTAATCATTGATATTTTTGGGTAGCCTTGGGCAAAAGAACAATAGATTTCGGACTAGAGACAAATGAGGCAAGATTCGTGTTACGCAACAGTGGCGGGCGATGGGGGGATGGGAAGGAGATAGAGGAGAATATCGATTTGCTGATAGCAACGGGAAAAACCAGAACGGATCAATTCAATGTTACCGCTTTCTCTGCAAGTGTGTGTGTGTTGTGAGGATGAGAAATCCGTAGGAAAATTACAAGCTATACGTTTCGTCTCTGTGTGTTTCTCGTAATTGAGCTGAGAAGAGGGTTCCTCGAAAGATAGCTAGATTAAACTGAAGAACCAATCGGGTTGCAAGCGCGTGAGCCAGACAATGCGACGAACAGTATCCAGGTAAAAGAGTTACTCACATCTACAATAAGTGAATGAAATGTTGTATGGGGAAAGGTTCTCCTCACATCTGTCATCATTAAAAATGCAAGACGAACGGAAGTTCTTTGGATTAGCTCATTAGACGTGCGTATTGGATTCGAACTTTGATGAGACGGCTCTTTCACTTCTGCCAGGAGTGCCCAGTTCTCTGTCCGCGTAGAAAAACGAGCAAAACAAAAGGCTAGTTATCTTACCAACATGGTCCCAAAAGAGTGTCTGCCTGCGCGAGTTTTTTTTCTGGAGTAGAAACGTGTTCTTGTATGTATATAGCCTCACATGTTGCGAGTTTCTATTAGAATTTTGTAATTAGAAAAAAGAACTAATAGTTTAAATACTTCGGGTTTTTCACTTGCGCAGTCCGTATTGAAATTGCCCGAGGTTTTCGTGGGTAAACTCAGGTATACGGTTGCGAACGTCTTGAGGACCGGGGACTGTGAGAATATACCTTTCTTTCTTGACTGAAACTTCTGGCACTGTCAGGCCTAGTAGACCGTTTAATGAGAGGTGCCTGTCTGGACGTGGAAGCTCCGTGACGTCCACCGGTTGATAGACTTGAGCGAGTTCCACTATCCGTGGAGCCCGTGGTCGGGATGTCATGGAAGTGTGGGTGACGGGCTTTACGAGCCTGTTCCTCTGGCATGTTCTCAAACATTGCGGCTTCCGTTTCTCGAGTCCGTCTTGGCGTCGTGGTATTGTGCGTTTGCATAAGTGCTCTTCCAGTTTGTGATGGAGGTGGGTAGTGGTCAAACTGTGTTCGCCGAGCGCTATCTGCCACATCTTCCAAGCGATGCTGAACCGGAACTGACACACTAGTGAATTTCATGCGTCCCGTACGACCCATGCCCATGAAGCCAGACCGTTCTGAAACATTTGGAAGAGATTAATGACGAGGGGTGATGAACGACTGGATTAACAGAAAGAACAGTGATGATGCATTGCATTAAACTTCGTTCGTCTAGTTCGACGGTCAAAGTGGGTAGAGGAATGGGTGGACAGATAAACAAGTCCATCGTTTTAGAAGATGAAACGATGTAGTGTGTCATATAGGTGAGCCAAGTCACGTATGTCCCCATGTTACTGGAGAGTTCGCTAATCCTAACTGACATGGCTTGGTTGGCGCACATGCCAAAGTGTCATCCACTCAGGTAAGGCGACCAGTATTCGCACAGCGGAATGGAATTTTCGGAAGGTTATGACGTTTCCCTGATGAACTAAAGCGTTCGGGTAATTCATTTGAGAGTAACAATCCAAATTTTGAGCCCCATTTAGGCACCCCGGGGTCTCAACGTAGCTGGGGAATTATTCCACCAGACTTTTCCGCCAGAGACGTGATTGCTTCAGTGGACAATGAAATTTGGTGAGCTGCAAAAATGTGGGCGTAGATTAGGATGGTTTTTGGTTTGGGCACTTAAGCAACAAAACGCAACATTTTGGTGCAAAAGGTTTTACTCCATTCGTAAAGGTTTTACAGTAAAGAGCATTGGGCTTAGGAAGGTATTACATATTGTCCCGTGCCAACATTGGTGAAATGTTCTAGGAGAGCTGGAAGTCACGTGACTGCGCAAAATAAAATGGCTGAAGTGAAGCTCGGTGTTTTTGGGTTTTCCCGCTTTCCAGATTGGAATCCTTCAGCGGGCTGGGCAACCCTAAAGGACAAGACACTTGGTTGAGCCCGATATCGATCAGGCTGTGGCGTTCTAGCTAAAATTTGGTCGCAAAGACGCTGGTTGATGATGTCTTTTTGCTCTTATATGGTGCTCACGTAAGTTTACCTCGTTATCTTGTCCCAAGGCTTTCTGAATCACTTCCTCTCAAGATAGAAGTTATTTACCATTCGTTTCCATTATTCATACACTTGCTACTGCATTCTCCAATTAAGCACAAGTAATTACCAGTAGTGCTTTGCCGCTGCTACTGATAATGACGACGAGGAGGACGATGAAGATGATGATGATGATGATGATGATGATGATGATGATGATGATGATGATGATGATGATGATGATGATGATGATGATACTCTGTGGTGAAAACTTCTTATTATCAGTTGCTTGATTGACGCAGCTTGTGTGCGTGAACAACTCGGTGGTAGCCCAGCTATGCAGAATTTTCGCATTCAAACAAAATGCGATCACCCGTCATTCGGACATCACTATCAAGTGAAGGATCGCAGCTTCAGAAGCGTTCTGATTTAATGAATTGCGTTATCTTAATAATGACAGTGAATAGTTATCAGCGTACACTAGACCAACTAGCAAAACAGTGACATCGGTGAACTACCAGGTGTGTATGAGATGACAGCTGTTGCCAGAATATTATGCGAACGTAGCAGTTTCCAAGTTGGGTCACGTGAGAGTGTTGTGGGTATAGGATGATTGAATGGATCTGCTTAGGTAATCCGTATCATTTCACGCTTGACGATAAATTTGGAAATTAATTATATGAAGAACACTTCGCGTCCGTACACGAGGGAACTTCCAAGATGACTAACTAAAAGTACGCGGGCACATTTTTGGGAGCTCGAAGTCCAAACTGTCCACCGGTAAAATGCAGCTGAAGACGATAAGCCTGAAGTCAATTTAGGCAACGAATTGAGTGTTTTTGTTGATAAGTTCCTAGGATGGTCTCGCGAAAAGGGAGTCTAATAAATTAAACTGGAAATTTGGATTGGCTAGCGTGGGCCTGTATGGGACAAATGAAACACAGTAAACGTGAAATACTCTCGTAGCTTCTTTATAGCCGCATAAGAAAACCCGAACTTGGGAACACCCATTCTAGGGCATCACTGACTGACCCGTCATAAGTTTCACAGCACACAGGATGTAACTAGGCGCCTCGGAAGCTTTTGACTACAAACTATACCTGTTTTATGAGCTCCAAAGCTGAAAAGTCAGCCTTTCGATCAATATGATCACAATTCTGACAGTAATTTATTTTGTTTTCTCCGAGTAAGCACTTACCAGAGGCTGCAACATTGGATGAGCGGTGGTCAAATTGGGATGAGTGGTCCTCAATGCCCGGAGCAGCCGGTCCGGACAAGGTAGATCGTACTGTGCTTGAAGTCCGATAGTGCGGGGGCGCTTGTTTGTGTCGATGTGAACGATACATTGGATGACGCGAGAGTGTTTCTTCCTGGCCGGCGAAGTGATAGGGCGCCGGGGGCCAGCTATGGACACCAGAAGCAGTGCATGTTGGGGGTTTCCTTTCGTCGGGCCAAATCTCCAAGATAAACTGAAATATTTCGGCCATTTTTCGAGGTTCCAGAATGGCTGGGTCCATGTTTCGAGCTGAGTTGGGTGCTGGATAGAATAGGACCGGAGCGAGACAATTGGCCAGATTGTGTGTGTTCATTCTGTTTATTTCGCTTTGACTGGTGATTCGCTTAAAATGGTCCAGTAGGTAGAGTAAAATTTCCTGAAACGGAAGCAAACATGTTCAGGGTCACATTTCCTATTGTGATACAATGTACACGATTGAAGTGTAATGAAGTGCGTGACGTTGCATTCAAATCGGTCACCTAAATGCTCTTCAACCCGTTTTCGTCTGAAAATCACCAGAGAGCCTACTGTTGCCAGATTTCAGTTGCAAGGTCACACGGAATGTTCTTCATTGAAAGCATTGGTTCGGCAAGCATGCGATGTGCCCAGTCATTTGATCGTTGTTTTCATCACAAACCTTGCGAGGCCACCGGGTTGCAGATTATTCGTCATAGGTATGCGATTAGGTAGGCGTTTCCGACTACTCAGCTTGTGGAGTGGCGTTCGCGTAACCTGGTTGGCTTGAAGGTAATCCGGCGACCGCACTTTCCTGCACTCTATTGGTTCGCTGAACGCGAGAGAAAACTGGTGACAACCAATCATGGCAAAGGTATTAGCTATTTTTGGGACACCATATAAACGCGGGCATAATAGAAGAAAATGCCAGTCCGCCACGTACCAGTGATCTTCCCTCAACTGTAACTCGATTGTCAAGCTCTGCCAACAAACCATTTAACTAGTCAGCGCATATGAACTACCCATAATTCTCAGTGCTGACCATTAATAGTTTGACACATTTGATTCTGTGCAAAGGACAACGCGAGCGCTAGGTAAATTCGCCAGCTAGTTCGGTTTAGACTGGGGTACACAAATAGCGGCAAGTGCATCTCACACACGCTTTTATATCGATCACGATATGAGTTCCAGGGGATTACCTCTCGGTATTCTCAATTCCCAATTTTATTTGGGAATATTTCTAGTCTTGGTGCTCCCCTGGGTAAACGAATTTGCTGGCATCTGCCTCCTCTTTGGGTATAGTAGAAACGACCTGGTGTAGGTCGAGCCTCGACTGGGTAGCAAGGCATGAGGTTCAGCTACTTTGTCCCTGTATTTTAGACTCGAATCAGGACAAGTCGCTGGTTAGAGACGCAATACTACCAGAACGGTATATAGTAACGTAGCTCGGGACAAAACAGTGTAAACGTGTTTCCAAACGCGAGTTATCCTCATGGGATACAGCCAGGTAGACTTATGACTTCTAGTGTGAATAGGCGAAACCTTAATTATCAGGGATGGCAGCGAATACGGATGGTACCGAAGACAGCTCAGTCTTCTCCAGGAAGATACAAACCAAACCAGTAATGAAGGTGGGTATTTTCGTAAGGTAGTACAATGAGACAAAACCTTCTTGGTTAACAAGAAGCAACACTAAACGGACCTCTAATAAGTTTCACTCACCTCACATGACGTGAGTGATTTCCACGTCAGTGGGTAAAGTCAAACACGATTTTACGGTTGCACCACATCCAGCGTTGCTCCATCAGTCGAATGTCAACTAGAAGCAAGAGGAATTTTCTTCGCCTTGTTGAAACAATAATTCAGCGCACGATTTGCTCGTAACATGCAGTCTTTTGATTTCCGATAAATAAACACGTGCCCTCTTCAGTGGGTCTGCTTTGACCAACACTCATTTTGAACAGCAGCCTTGATATTAAGGAAAAACGGACAAGTTCGTGTGCTATGCAGCTATGGAACTTGCGTAACCAACGACCTGGTTTGGAGCTAACTATGGTGTGCCTCTGACAGAATTTTTTTCACTCAGGACATCTCCTAATGACTTATCTTGTCATGATCAAGTTTGTTCACGATGCTTTTCATCCCCTGCTTGCTGATGCTTTAAGGATCATGGGCGTAATTTTGTAGGCCAGAAACTCGCACCCCAATCATTCAATATTCCACAGTTGATTTGACTCTATGACGTGAAATTTTTTGAGGTTGCTGTTGAAATGAGTCGATCTTTTATAACTTAACCTATTATACACTATCGTTTATTTCTGAAGAACTGTTGTGCATACTATCATCCCAAGCAGCCACCAGCTCTTGTACGCATACACCATAAACTCGGATTGCTAAATGCGGAATCGTTGACCACATTGCATAGTACTCGGCACTGGGTAGACAGAAGCTCTACCGTTCTGCGCTCTCCGCTGCATCGGGATTGTTGCACTCAGACTTGGGATACCAAGTCCCCCATGTTGTTTACCGGCGTAGATGTAGCTGATCGGGGTGTCCTTCGGTGGACGTAGCAAGCCACGAATAGATTGCCTGATGCAGTCGTTTCGAAGGATATGACTGAGCATGAGCGATATATCAGCCTCGGTTCGAACTTTTATAAACGGATCTGTTTAGCGCTCATCTCTAAATTTCCGAGAAGGGACGGGTTATGAAAACCCATCACCTTCGTTAGTTATCTGCAACACATCTCTTGGTTGCACCAGTATATATTCCAGTGATGGCCGTTCCGAACTCTGCCTGTTCTACACCAGGGGTCTCGAAACGAAGGCATTCTAGATCTAATAATGCGTGATTCAAGCTCGCGTGCAGCTTGTATTCTTTGCAACAGATGAACAAGACAATAGAGATGGCATTATGGAAGACGGCTGTGGAGATTTCGCTGTATTGATTCATCCTATTTCATAGTATTATTGTTGATAGTTCTAGCGGAATTTCGGTTCATACTGATTTACCCGAAAGAGCGAAATTCCTAACCTGTGATATGGAAACGGTCCCACATAAGTGGGAATCTACCCATCTTGAACGGGATGGTATGTGTTTGCTTGTCAGAAACTTGAAACACGAATTTTTCATCGTAAAATTGAAGAAAACACAGAGAAGTAAACGGTTGGACAGTAGAGCGGAGGTATTTTATTGCGTATATTTTACTATATACTGCATAAGAATGTCGAAGAATGTCCAACAACTCACGGCCAATCGAGGAAGCGTCAATGGCCGTCTACGCTAACCGAGTTACCAATATTTTCTTCAATACATCAGAACGGCATTCCCTAACCTGAGGATAACTAAAGGAAGTCAGTTCTGAAATAAGTTCCAACGATGTGTCATACCCTTTCTGGTTTCCATCTTCCAATATCGACTTTGTGGTTTGTGATAGCGTCGACGAACTGCCCACTTTCAGTAATCGGTAGGCTAACCCGGTATCGATTACGCACTTACCTCCAGTTTGAAATTGTATTTTGGTGTGATTGGACCGACTGATTTATAAGCTGTTCTATCCTAATTGAGATGGGCTTCGCCTAGTTTTAGTTTACCATTTTAGTTGGCCGAGATTTACAGCAGTATCCGTCACCTCAGTTGGTTCTTTTGAAATTTATTGATTTCTGGCTTAATCTGATTGGTCACGAGTTTGGACAGATTCTAGATACGTGATTAAACTTCTGATTGGAGAACACGGGTGGTCCACATACTCCAAGGTCGTGATCGTCGCTGTCTCCAGTGTTTCTTAGCAAAATTCAAGTATGTTCGTTCAAAGCAGAAGCGTGATTCTGGTGTAACTGGGGAAATGACGACCAGTTTGGTTGAAAATAAGGAAAAAACTGATCATTCCAGAAGCAACCAGTCTGTCAGGGAACATACTGTTATATCAGTTGGCACAAGTCCACATTTCTTGTAATGTTCCAGAGGACGTAACTTTCACCATTCATTCGAAGTGCAAAGGCGTCGATTTCTACATTTTTTTCAAGTTAACTCTTTATCTGTTCTAGAAAGACAGTATGATGTTGGATAGACGTGGTCAAGAATTCGTTAACTTGGATTCCTGATGATGAAACTTGCGAATCTGTGATAAACAGCGTTGATCATGTGGCTGCTATTCAGAGAACGGATTCTGCGCTGATAAGACAATTTAAATACCTACTGGAAAGATGGAACACCAAGGGTACCGTAAGAAGTGACGATTTAGTTGGACTAATTAAAGATCCCAGGTGTATGAATTCCAGCTACCGTTCACCCGCTAGATGGACAAGGAGCGAGACTGGATGCCCGGTCACGTGGCATTAATCATTCCAAGCGGATTCGAATGCAAAGGTTGGGCGAGTGTGACCAAATGGCATGAGCTCTATGTGTGTGTGTGTGTGTGTGTGCACCTGCTACTAACCGTCGGAGAAGCTTCACCGCCCAAAACCATGAGCTTGCAAATCCAAGCTTCTGATATAAGTCGCCAGTTTTAAAGCTTGTTTCTCTTTTCACTTTTAGCCGGTTCTTTCCCATTTGTGCGCTTCACGAGTAGTGTATACTACAGTGAGTCTTGACCTCCCAAATGTCTTCATTCGTTCGGAAATCACAGATCGTCTGCTGGGCATTATGATAACTTTGGAGCTACCCACAGTTGTTCACCTTTCGGTCTTGTGCCCCTTTATACCGAATAAATTGTGTTGTCAATACCTCTCATCAAAAATTGCATGTGTTATCACCCATCCTTTAGGGTGATCCATCGGGGTATTTCATCCTTGATAGATTGAGTAGTCGCTGGAATTCAAACGGCCCAACATCTTTTGAATTAGGTCTGTCCGTGCCGAAAGGTACCTTACGGCTTCTCCAGCGATGCCCTTCTCAAGAGTTTAGGGGGTTGATTAGAACCCGAGACTATCGTTGAGGCGGGCTGCGCAATATGCCCGGTTGATTGTGTTCACGGTTGAGCGATTGAAAGACAAGCCGAGAGAGCCGATTTGTGAGCAACTTTTTCCTGCAGAAGGTGCACTGCATTTGGGATTTTAATGGGTACCTGAAAACTATCCTATTTTCTTTGTACCTTGGGGCGTTAGACAAGCGTACTTTTTGCTGATTGCCAGATGTCGAGATCTCTCTGCTCCTTGACCGTCTCTTTACTCCCCCTGAAGTTAGTGAGTCGAAAAATGAAAGTAGCTTTGTCGAATGTATCTAGTTAGTCAATTGAATAAAAGTTTGTGTTGATAACTCGGTTTAATCATACATAAATTAATTCTGTGACTTTTAAAGCAAGGTGTACGATGCACAGCCTCCCGTTTACTGAGTACAATACCCACTTATCCGGGTTGGACGTTTTGCCTTTCCAGTACAATTGTATACCCAGAAACGAATGATCTATCATGAACGGTAGTGATTGCCCATTAGGCTTCAATGACTCCAACGAGTAACGCTCTCAGAACACGAACACTGTACAACATCTGGTTACTTACCTGGTTGTTTGTGGGTAAGCAGTCCAATATATTCAACATCAGTTTGGCCCCGCTCTGAGAGAAATCCGGCAGTGTGACCTGCATCGCGTCATAGAACATTGGATACAAGGCGCTGGTGAATAGCGGTTCCGGTAATTCACGGAGGAAGTCTTTGAAAAGAGCTGTGGAAACAACGGAGCCGAATACGTACAGGTTAGCTTCTTAGAAACGCCTGTTGGACTTTACAGCATTGCTCTCTATATAACTACCAGCTGCCGCTAGCATAACTATACAACTAACTATACTACTAACTAGCTAGTGAGGCGTGCAAAACACAGTTGGAGATAGTGGGTGATAAATCTGGAACCTAGCAATGATAGGGTTTCCGAAATTACAAACTATGAGGTGAAAGCGGGAGTGCAATCACATAACGCGAGCAGAGATTGAAATTGAGCCGTGTCAATGTACAATTATGCCATTACACCTTTCAAGCTGTGACGAAGGAAAAAACAAAGAGTTCTACGCGTGTCGTCTTTGTTTAGCTGAGGATGGAGCAACATGTGACGTTAAACGGAAGTCAGTCGTATTCGTTTCATTAGTTTCTTTCAATCTATAAGTTGTTTAGAAAAAGAAGTGGAACTTCCGTCTAAGAAGTCATCACTCAAGGGGGCAGTCTGTACGTGAACATGTGATGTGGTTTCTATGAGTGAAGGATCAGTGGCGCTATCTGCTGTTCAAGTGAGAGCCAACCACACTACTGGTCAGCCGCTCTTAAACAAACCGTTAATTGTTCATCCACTGGCCGAAAGGTCCCGTATTCGGAGCTCCCTGGAGTTTCGTGACATGCACACTACTGACGATTCCCAGTAAGGGTGGAACATCTGTAGAGTACCTCTCGGTCTTTCAGCATAGTTTGAATGAAAACGATCGAACTCCCCCACATTACCACAAGTCTACCCACACTAGTCGACTAAAGCTTGGAATTGTATTTTGGCGTCCTTCTTGCATCACAGATAAAGTCTTACTCTGAAGAAACTGGTGTGACTACTTTGTATTTACTGAAGGTTTTTCTGGCAATGATGACGATGGCGGTCAGCTGTCTGGTACTCACACCCTGATGCCTCAATAATATGTCAAAACCCTCGTGACCATGAAGTCCAATAAGCAGTGCTGTTCAGTTCAGTCTATCAGCTGACAAGGGTGCTTGGTTCCGAATTCCACAGTTTCGGTGACCGGCAAATAAGACGGCAGGCGAGTTATGGCCAAGCGTTGGAGGCACTGGGGAGCACAACTACTTAAATGGCATTGTGTATAGCCCTGAGAAGACGGTAGACTAAGTAGCTAAAATTCAGATCCGCGAAACGCAGTGATTGTCAACCTATGCTGGAGATGTTTCTCTCGCAGTTTTCACCAGAGGAATAAACCTGGAAACTTGCTTGATCCCTATAGATCATTGTGGCTTTGGACCTCGCGAACTCCACCCACACCTGGGTGAGTTACAGTGCTGAGACGTAATCATGCAACGTTGTAGGCATTGGCCGGTAAGGGAGGGTGCTAACATTGCTAATCTTCGTACACTAAACAACGGATGTAGGAATGTCAACGTCGGGCTCTGGTTTTGGGTTTGACCTCTGTCTCATTTCCGTTCCATTGCCGTTGCCCGTACAGTATTGATACTCATAGTCGATCGGCTGTAATACCCACTCGGTAGCTAGCTACCCTGCCATTCGAAGAAAGCACAAGGGTTGAGATACTACGAGGTTGCTCAAGCTCAGACAGGAACAGATGACATAGCGAGATTGGATCGAATCATGGACCGCTGGATTAGTAATTTCGCGAATCAACTGATTTGTCTGGAGCGACAGCAGAATTCAATGATCATACGGTCCAGACTGGAACAGATGACATACCGAGATTGAATCGAATCATGGACCGCTGGATCAGTAATTTCGCGAATCAGCTGATTTGTCTGAAGCGACAGCAGAATTCAATGATCATACGGTTCTCAACCCGATTCGGTAGTATAAGGTAGTCACCGGGAATCCCCTTTTCCCAATCGGAGCGATAGACCACTTTATGGTGGGATGATACCCACCACGACTTGATATATATGTACTTGACTCTGACCGCACTCTGTCCAAGACCTGCTTTCTTTCTCAACTTCTACGAGGCTAGGTAGTGCGACCAACTGAACCCCGTTAGCCACAACTGTCATATTATTCTTCAAGTTGCAAAATCACACTTTCGATGCGGTTGAACTGTAGTACGCTTCGATGAACGGTATATCGCCCACCAATATTAAGTTAAGTATGACCGTGTTTCGCCAACCAGGTTCGAATTGATCGGCAGTGCAATTTTATACGATTGCAGTTTTACCAGACAACACCAACAACAACTTATAGGTACTCTCACTTGCACACTATCTTGGTTTTGACGCCAGGCTCACCTGAAACCCAGCTGAATGTGTCGTTTATGATGTTCTTACTCAGTTTAGTTCCTTATCAAAACCATATTGACAGGCAGATGAGTGCATAAGTTGACCTTCGTGCAATTTGGGTTCAAGTGGAACATAAGTTCGACAGAAAATCGAAAACTGCATCTATCGCATGCTCCTTAAGAACGGCGAAACCGGTCGTGGAATGTCAGCGTTTTTTCAGCAACCAGTAGTATAATACGCCTATGAAAAATTGAACCTAGTTCTTGAGGTGATCCTTGAGGACTCACACCATCTCCTATTCTCAAATTTGATATTTGTAACCGTGATTATCATAGTCGTTTCTGGGAAATTTGACCCAAGTTTGGTTGCACCCGATGAAACTCACAACTAAGACATTGTTCGTAAAAAGAAGACACGTGAAAAGAGCACGTGGAAGTAATCAGTTCCAGCCGGTATTTTCTCGTGACAGTAGCCTTCCCAAAGAGAACGCGGGTGTATGACACAGCCGAATTCAAAATGTATTAAGTTCATTCTGCGGCAGTAGCTTCTTCAGAAGCAACTAGGTTGCTTGATCGGGATTAATCTTGATTTTGTTCCGAAGCCGATGTCCTAGAAGGTTCGGATAAGCTAAACTGTTGTCACTTATTCTGACCACTCAGCTCGCTCGCTAAGTGGCTAAATTTTGAGTCGCAGTGGATACGAAGTATTCAATTTAACACCACAGTGAAATATGTAGATACTCTCGGTTGCTCATCTTGCGATCTTGACCTCGGCTTGGCATCTGGCTTGTGGACAACTCTGATGGGGCCAATCACACTGCAATAAAATGTAATTTATTCATTGTTTGATAACTTCACAGTGAAAAGCATCAAGAAGAAAGAATAATTTTGGCGTCGCCTAGGCTACTGACTTATTAACAGGACTTAAAACAGTAAGTAGATGTAAATCTATAGAAAAGGGTGTTCTTCGGACTGGCTTTTTTGAAAGGATGCTACAGTTGGTTAGATCATGTGCGCGAACATCGCGCGTACGTCAGTGGAAGACAACGCTTCTTGCTCTAGTCTACTTTGTCACGTAGGAAAGCTCAAGTGAGCACTCGGATTTCGGTTGCTTGTGTCAGGGGTTTGAAATTTGATCAAACGGGACTGCTGTTCTTTGAGAAGTACACAACCAGCAGTCATCATGTAGAAGGTGCATAGCCCAATAGTCAGAAGACGTATTGTGCCATCACTGTTCTAGAAAAAAGGAGTCTTTGACTTGCAGCACCTGTGGAACGCCAAAGGGAGGACGACCTACGATCTAGTCGATCACACAGAACTTTTGGTTGCATCCAGTCCAAACTGGTAGAACCGATCAAGGAGGAATAATAAACGTTCTCCATAAGATTTTCTCGAATATTCTAGAAAATTGGAGCCAATCCATTTCGCTTGGGTTCAGTGGGAGAGACCCTCGATCAACAAAAATCCCTAAAAAACACTTTTTTGTAAATTACCAAGAGGTGACCAGAATACTTCAATACCCAACTTGTTTTAAGAATACCTCGGCAAAATACTAGCTGCTTGAAGCTGGAATAGATCGGGTGTTCTTTTTCAAACTGATTTAATTTATAAAATTACATCATGACTTCATGGAGATGACCTTTTCTTACAGTTTGACTAAAGGAAACGCTTCGTGAATGAAGCCAGTCAATGCTTGAGAAGCATTGTAGAGCTGCTCCTTTCCTAATGGGAATCGTCAACATTGCGCATCTCATGAAATTCAAAAACAGATTCGAACCCGTGCCCTTCCGGCTAGAACACACGGTTCAGGAAAACTCAGACGCAGCGCTCACTTCATGAGCTCCAAGAAAGGCCACACCGGTCGTGGTTTGCCGAAAAGCTCTTAGTAAACTTGTCAGAAGTTCCCTTTATGGGTCATCTACTTAATTGCTCACTTAAACTACGAGTCAAATGAAGAAGACCTTAGCTACGGAGTTGTTTATTAGAAAATGCCAAGTGAACAGTTGCAGGGGAGCAAAACTCTCATGTGCATCTTGTTTACGAAAATAAATATCCGTCTTTCCCTTGAATGCGTCTTCCTGAACTTTTTTGGATGTTCATTGACTGTTACTCAGACGCAAGCAAATGCTACAAAGCGACTCCATAAATTCCGTAATAGATCTCACGTTCCAAGAAACGCGAAGCGGATTTACGAGAAAACACTACTCGCATGCCTCATCAGTAGTACCCACCGATACACTAATAGATAAGTCGCCTGTTCGAGACTCCCTGCTGGATTTTCGTGAGATGTGCAATACTGATGATTCCAAATAAGGATAAAACACCTGTACAGTGCTCCTAAGCTTTTCAGCATGGAATGAATTCACTTACAGAAGGGAATTTCCACTGAAACTTCCCAAATCTCCTCACATTATCAAAATTTAACTCGAACAAAAAGCATAATGATGAGCGTGAACCGTCGTCGGAAGTCTCCGTCAAATCTATTCGGTCAACGTAACTAACTTTACCCAATTGGCCGATGCGAACTGATGCCCTGCCTTCCGAGAGACCTGACGGTCATCTTGAGTCCATCTTAGTTTCATTGACAGAATGACCAAGAAGCGGAAAATTTCCATTGGCTTAACATGTCAGATTTCACCCTGTTTTGTACGTTTGAGATTGTAACAGGTATGCAGCCTGCAACCACAAAATCTCACGTAGCTTCCTGTTTGAACAAGGCAGCTACGTTATTCAACCAGTAGGTTAC